CACTCATTTAAAAATTATAACAGGCTTAATACTAATATCGTAGACAAGTATAACTTGATAAGTATTGTTACCTGAATATTCTTTGGGAAGGTATTTACTAGATATTGTTGAACAATAAGTTGCTAAATGATAATTTCAACAGTGATTATGTTATAAACGTATCTTAGCAACGTTAATGTCAGTAAAACGTTTTTGGAAATTTAGTCAAGTACTCCAAAGCCTATCATTATCAATTTTATTTGCTTTAGTTGTGTTTCCTGTCAAAACCCAAACTCCAGTGTTTGGAAAAGCTATTTTACCCCCTAAGGATGTTAAAAAAACGTACCATTACATCCAGCGAGGAGAGAATGCAGTAATTCCTTGTATCCCACCTGATTACAAGCAAAAACACTCAATCACTGATGTTGTTAGCTACGTTTGGACAGACCAAAGAGGTACGATTGGATCTGTAGGGGACAAAAATCAGAGTGCAAAAGTATACATGTGACCTTTTAATTCAGGATGTTCAAGCTCTCGATATGGGTCATTACAATTGTAATGCTATATACTGGAAAAAAACATGGGGACAGGAACCAAGCAAGAAATCGTTGTTAAGCATTATTTAAAAGGTAAATAATTTGTACTGACTACTTACAGTTTCATTGGCATCTTTACATCTCACTTAATAACTAATTTTAAACAACGCAGTCTTTTAATTAACGAGGATTTAGAATTAAAATCAATTTAAATTTGTCATGTAATCTTAATAATATGATATTTATGCAAGAAATGATGCTCAAAATTCATAAAGAAATACATGTGTAGTGAATGACTGTAAGGTTACATACATGGGTAAAACTAAGCGCCATTTGAAAGCTAATCTATGAATACTTAGGCATATTGCGTAGATCTTTTGTTTGTTTGAAGTCAAGCACAAAGCGACACAGTGGGCTATCTGTGCTCTGCCCACCACTAGTTTCTAGCGTTGCAAGTCCACAGGCATACATACCACTGTGCCACAGGGGGGTTACGTAGATCTCGCTCACGCTTAGCAACACCATGTCACTCAGCAATTCGATCACATGAAGAAACCATAAGTCATTACATATTAATGAATGACTTTACCATAACAATGGTTGGATCTACAGACATTGAATATGCCTTTAAAAGTCTTCTAATTGTGAAAGACCACCCAAATCTAAATATTCAACAAACACCCTTCCAACTAATATTGGTTTAGTTAACATAATGACATTAACCATCTGTATTTCGTATATTATAAGTTGTGACATATGAATATCTAGTATTCCAATTTCAGTTTGTGGTATTTTATGTATAAACGTATTTTCTTTATTTTTCATTTCCCAGAAATAATAATAGTGTTTGATTACACCCTGTAGTCTACTTTCTATGGTCCATATTCTCACAAGTCATATGGAGTTCACTTAATTTGTACTAAATCAAAAATACGATACCTTTTAACTCTAGCACTTTCAAAGGGTGAACATTTCTTCTTCATGGACAAACTAGAAATGACAGTTTTGTTTTGTTTCTGTCTGTGATCTTTATCGGAGTTTAAGTCTTATAGACCAAGGAGAGTCAGGTGTATTTGACCTCTTCCTCTATTATGTAGTAAGTTTTTCGATTTAAATTATCTCAGGGGAACCGTGGGAAGTAACTGAGGATGCTCAGAGGACAAAGTGCTAACAACCATCCCACCCTATCAGTAAAGTCTAATAAAGTCACTTAGCGTCTCAACTGCTAGTTTAAACATTGACCAGATTCACTTCACGAATAAGTCTTATTTTCGCGAGCGGGACGAAGAGAAACAGTAGTTTCTGAGCGCCACTGATTCTTTTTCAGGCGTCCAAAATGAGATGAGATGATGGCGCTCAGAAGCGATTGCTTCTCTTCATCCCGCTCGTGATGGAAGGGAGCGGCTATGCATGGAGAATTATAAGTCATACGTCAGATCGTTTTACCTAAACTCAACCCCCATTATCGGACTTATGGTCTTTCAGGGTGGCGGAATGTAAAAATCCAAGCTAGAGAGTTAACCATGGGTGAATGGGATGCCCCGTGAAAAACCACTTTCACTGATCAGGCACCAAATAACCTACCTGACCAGTCCCGACTAAACTCACGCGGTACTGAGGCGGCATGATCAAGGAAGGAGTGATAGGCGTGGGAGTCATGGTCATTGGTTGAATAGTAGAGGAGGAATTTCTTGTTGGTTCGGAAGTGGTTGAAGGATTTTAGTTGGCTGGTTGTGGTTCTATCTTGGTTCGAGTCTTCATTTTCGCTGATGGAGGGTCGACGGAAGATGGAGAAGATAGAGCAGGAATCATCTGTATCAACGTGGTGTGACGACAGAGTTGTCGACTTGCAAGGGTGCTAGCGAGTCGGATGGAAGGCAATCAGTGGAAGGTTCAGAAATGAAGGGATGGAGGCGATGGAAGATGTTTTCTGTAGAAGTGTTGATGGGCTCAGGAGGTGGCTGGGTTCGGGTGACTTTTTTGCTTTTGTAGGGCTTGGTGTGAGTAGTCTGAGCGGTTACAGTTTCCTGGGGTTCTTTTTTGGGTGCATGGTTGGGGTTAGTTTCTGGATTTGGGACGTCTGGATGGAAGTTAGAGGCATGGTGCGTGGTAGGGATGAGACTGTTATTTTTGGGTGCTGCTGTCTAGTGGTGGGTGCAGGGGAAGACGGGACTGGACGAGGGGAGGGTATTTACTGTATGGCTTTTCGGCTTTAAAGTGAAATATATGAAAGGAACATCCGCAATCCGCCGACCACATACACATCACCACGTCACAACTGTTTCGATGAACAGCGTCTATTTCCCGTATTCCTTGAGCGGGTACGGTGCACTGCGTGTAGTTTGGTATTGAGTTCATGATCTGTTGTTTTCTGGATATCTTCATGATTGGTCTACACCTCTTACAAAAAAAAAGAAAAAGAAGTGTTTATAGTCATATCTGTCAGTAAAAGAATCGGTGGTTTTATAAAATTGAATGTTAGACAACGATCTATTACATGTATGACAAACTTTCTTTGACGGGGTGTAATTCATTTTTGCATGGACAATAATATCTTTAAGGCTCAATTTGTACTAATATAACTCAATACACGCTGTCCTGTATTCCGAAATATTCCGAAATATTGGACCCACGTAAATAACTTGTTCTGTGTCCTGACTACAGTGTTTATCTTCATTAGAAGACTCGGATATTTTGATGGAAGTCTTGAAACTACACAAACATTTGTATTTTGGATGCTGTTTTTTGTAGAGATAATTCTCTTAAATGTAGTTAGTAACATTTCGAATGAATCTCTTGTGTACTAATAATGATAGCTGCAGGACTTCAAAAGAGAAACAACATTATTGTAAGAAAATATAATTTTTCAGTAGTATTTACTTAGTTGCACAAATTATTGGTATTATTTCGATCAATTTTGAGTAAAGGAATATTATTAACTGAAAACTTATCAAACATTGGAGCTACATAACATAACTGTTCGATGTGCTCGAGCTATGTCAACGCAAGACATCGCAAGAAATTTATTAAAACATTTTATTCAACCCCGCTAGTGCCTTTTTATTTGCCAGTTTTTAATTTTAATCTTGTATGTACTGCTCTTTTTCATTTTAATATTTAGAATGATAAAAGAGATGGCAGTTTATCACATTTTGTAGTACTCTCATATAAACATCAGAAATAAAGATTAGAACAACTATTATTGAACAATAAGTTTATATTTATTTCGACGCTTTCACGTGTTCTATTTAGTCCAACTTTCGTTTGTGAAAGACTCAACTCTCAACTAACTTAACAGGTATTTTGGCTTTAAAATCTAACGGGGCTTGAGAGACAACCAGGGGCGATAAGAAACTGTTGTTTCTCTTCGTCCAAACACACAGCCTTTTTGTAACGGAAGTTTGAAGTTATTAAATGACCTTCAGCGATGTTAAAGATTCGCAATGTTTCTATTAGAGTATTTTCCATAATTCTTTACACATAGTTTCTAGTCTTATGTATTATATATATTTGGGCTGCAAATATTCAAACTAATAAAAGAGGTTGACTACGAGTACCAGGCCAACATAAGATTGATCTATGTTAGTGATTGGTGGTGTGATTTAAACATTCCAACTTAACATGTTTAACTAATTGATGGTTTAGATTTGTTTATATTACTTGCAATTCAAAAGTAAAATCGTTTATAAACAGAAAAAAAAATGAGATAATTTGACCCATCGCCATTAAAACTTCCTATGTAAACATACAGAAAACATTTTTAAACAGAACAAAATTATCAGATAATTTGACCCATCGCCATTAAAACTTCCTATGTAAACATACAGAAAACATTTTTAAACAATTTTCAGTAAAATGGTTAACTTGGCACTTTTTGTAGTTTTGTTTAATTTTTTTATATCAGTATATTTGACATCACATAACAGCATCATCTGTCCGTATGGATACATGTTGAGGAAAAGTCATTGCTGTAAGTTGTGAATAACAATTTACTTTCGTTTGCATTTTGCTCATTTATTTATGTCAAAAGTAGAGGGAAAAAATGTATCGTAGAAAATGGGTTTATATTAGTTTAAAGAGAAAACTTAATAAACTAGAAGTAAATTAGAAATTGTCACAACTTAAAAGTTTTTACTGAAACAGTATAATGTGTTTTTTCTAGTTTATTTCTTTAAGTATATTTTCCACAAGAGGATGATGATAAACGGCTATACAATACATAATTTAAATACAAAAACACGACAGTCATGAAACAAAATCACTCTCTTTACCGTTTACAAAGAATAATTCTGTGCTGATTTATTGTCAACTTTAACTTCGTTACACGATTTAATTTACTTCTTTTGATCAACATTTGGTGTTTAAGGTATGGTTAACTATGTATATTATAAATTTTTCCTTTTTTTAAGATCCATGTCCACCTGGACAGTTCAGAGGCAACGAGCAAAGACAATGTGTCCCGTGTCCTAATGATCATTATGGTGATTATTTTAGATTTTACATATGTTTGGCTTGTCCACAAGGTCGATTTGCAAATCCAGGAGCTTCCTCATTGGATGCATGTAAAAGTAAGTTTTACCAACTACTTATCATCGCACTATGAACAACACAGAACTTCCAACACCGTTCTGGTGTTATTAAGATTAATATCAACTATTTTGCACATAGACGTATGTAGCGGGAGGACTGCTCATTCTGGCAAACACGGTATACCCCCATCTGAAAAATCCCCCGTATGCCTATGATTTTGTACATAATGAGCTTTAGTAAAACCCCATAAATGAGAATTTATATAGATTTTTGTACAATGATATATTAATATCTATATATAGGATTTTTTTAGACGGATTTATTTTAAAAAAAGGAGCTGTGTATCTGATTTAGCAGAGATTCTTCTGTAACGTAAGTTACGACTAGTTGTATAGCAAATGATTTCGGTGCTTCATTCCCATTGGTTACCTTCAGGTACTGTAATTTCTAATGACTTGAAACAAAATATTTTTCACAAGATAAATATTACTAAATTGGTGCGGTTTGAAACATGTTTCGTATGAAATGTTTTTTTCTTTTGTAAACAAATAATATTAACAACACTTTATATGAAAATATTTATTTATTAACAATACGAATGTTAAACAATGATATTATTGTTTTCATTTCAGTACCCGTAATAGTAAAGATATTTACGCCTCCACTTGTTTATGCCACGGTGGGAATGCCACTTCTAATACTTTTATTAGGGTAAGCATAATATTTATGTTAGTTGGATTTCTGACCAACCCAGACACCAGAACCTGAAGTACCCATGGATCTGTGGTGAAGGAATTCCAGGTGTCCAGAAAATGTTGTAACATCACTCTCACAGACCCCACTCACATAGGTTACTCACTGATGCCATTGGCGACGGTCTGCCCGAGCAGAGGAGCCTCAAAGATAAGGATGGGATCTATTCTGAGCACAATTGGTCAAGAAGTAGAAGCCGGGGTTTGGGACACACAACAAGCAGTCGCACCTTGACTTCCAGCAGGTACGAAAGAAAGTCTAGAGGCCAACGAAAAGGAAGAATGCAAACGGGGCGACATGAATTCGTGATTCAAATGCCACTGGTACCCCCACGAACATCAAGGGACAAAGAAAATGAGTCTCACGTATCTCACGGAGAGCTACAGCAGTTAGACGAACTCCCTCCAACAAGGCATCTCTACCCAATAAATCCCAACAACATACAAGTGAAGAAATCAAAGAAAGAGCAGAAGCTGACAAATGTACCAAGGTAAAAGTCAGGAAAGAACCAAATTCGTCCTCAAATTGATGTGAGGAACGCTGATAGGCTTCAGACAAAATTTGGAAGGAAGAAAATTGTGATCTGTTCAAAGTGATCACAGGGTCCAGTCTAGAACCCCACATATCCAAAAGAAGATTAAGTCTTTGGAAATCTAAATACACATCTTCCTGGTAGTGGTAAGCCAAAGCATGTAGTTCAGCAGGTGTAGGGGACAAGGCATAGCTATCCCATCATGTAATTGAGCAGTAAATCTCCCAGCATGAACATACTGCACTATATAGAAGAAGACTTTAACATATCTTACAGACCGGTAGTGAAGAACTGATTGGTAGCTCCATTATTCTTTATCCTTAGAACTATTGTAACAAGGTGTATTACTTAATGACAAAAGACATTAGGATCATAGCAAACAACTGACAACAGTATTTATTTAAGGGTTAAGTAAAATGTAATCACTTATTTTTTGGGACACGTGGCTTACGTACAAATATTACAAACGCAAGCTTTGTTGTTATTAAACTCGAACATGTGATCGTTTTAAATGGTTTTATAATATATTTCTATAATGACCATAAGCAGAGCAAAATAAATATTTAGATTTTATTATGAAAATACTGAATAAAAATGAGATATTATATCCTATGTGTATATCTATTTTTTACTCTTTGAATAGTATATGTTACGTATTACAGTTTCAAATAGCCTAAAACTGAGTTAAATTGTAATTTAGATTTAGTAATTAAATAAATGCACATATATATCCAATTTATGATATTTGCCAACAAGATTGATACACACAGTTTTCTTTTTTTTAATACAAAGATATTTTAATATACAAACAATAATAAAAGTTACAATAACGGTTATTACAAATAGTTATAATAAACAATGATTTATATACAAAAATTTTACAAACTTACAAACAATATCGAGTCTTTTTTCTGGTCTGGAACTTCCTTGATGTTTTATCGAGGGCTAACGATGAGCGAGTTAAGTTCGAGTCGATGTAGGTACAATTCACTTAATAGGGAGCTAGCTACCTTTGTGGTCTTCACTGATCACACGTCGATTTTTTTCCACCGATGAAGTTAGGTAATTTATTTTTTTAAGTTAGGTAATGTTTTCGTAAAAGTAATAATGTCCGATGTGAAT